CCCACGTGGTAAATCGTAGATTAAATTTGGTTGCAGAAACCTCCATTTCAGGAAAAATTCTCTTCGGAAATTTTCGTATACCTTGAATCTAGAAATAACGTGTATGACTCTCGGCAAGCTCGTAGAACTACGGTAGGTAGACGGAAATCACAATTCGCGTCCTCACTGTTCAAAACTAGAAATCATTCAACCACACCTTCTAGCTGTAAGCGACAGAGGCGAAGCCGAGTGAATTAGTATGCATCAGGAATACTTGCTCCCGAAGATTCTGAAGTTATTGAAATCTGGTAGTCTCTTGCATGTGTTACTCCTTATATGCAGTGATAGAATTGTAGTGTCCCTGTAGGGCAACGTTTGAGTAAATCCACGCTTTGCTCTTTCACCACAATGAAAGCCTTGCTGTGCAAGTTCAAACGCAGTACCGGGGTTTCAGAGAACTTAGCCATTGACATCAATCCTTTCAAATAACTAACATTAGTAGGATAGGATACGTATGGGTTAGCCTTAAAGGCTCTTGTTTTGTCAACATCGGGTACACCTAGGGCAAGCCCTTACAGAAGCGGTGTTGGTCAAGCTGATTAGAACACATACACATTATCTGACCAAATCTTTTTTTGTGGTTTCAAAGCTGATGGATTGCCAAACGACTACTGTTGTTCGCTTTCAAATCTCCTTGTAGTCAAAAATCCTTTGTCTTTTGCTGAAGAATTTCTTGCCCACCTTGAAATTTCCAATGACAGATGCGGAATCTTTAGGTGCGGCCACAGCCAATGATTCAATGATACCGAGCATTCTAAATGACACAAAGCATATGCCCTGCTTTATGTATAAAACGAAGTGACATTGCTGAGAGGCATTCAAACTTTGTTATTAGACTTGAGGGTATGTAAGTAAAGGAATAGACAAAAACAGAAAGATTTGACTAACTTGTCGAGAGCCATCTCAGCCAGTGTAGGCAGTCGTACAGACAGCATGCACAAAGCTTTCTCCTCGTCAGTGAGGTCATTATGGTATTTGATGCATTCCGAGTAATCAAGAATGGGCACCATGAAGAAGATGAGCAT